CTGAGGCCGCCCCAGCTGACGCTCCGAGGGAGAGGGCTGTGGTGCAGGCCAGGCGCCTGGGGCCGCCCCCCTGGGGCTCCCCGTCGGGGCGCACCTCTTCCTCACCGTCCATTCCCCTGGGGAGAGCAGAGAGAGCATCTCAGCGGCTGCAGACCAGCCCCGCTCCCAGCCCGCCCCGCCACAGGCCCTCCTGCCCCGCCACAGGCCCTCCTGCCCCGCCCCAGCGCCCAGCCCCACACCCGCTTGAGGACTGGGGTCTCCTGCCCCGCTCCCGGGGAGCCCCAAGCCACTCGCTCTCGCAGGTCTCCCGAAACCACCCGGGGGACCTCCAAAGATCAGGGTCACGTGCTTAAGCAACTGGCCAGTGAGGAAAGTCAAGCTGCAGGGAGGTCCTAGAGGATCTCTAAATCACTCCACGGAACACAGCACCTGTTTCTGGTCACGGAAAACAACACTGCAGCCTTTCAGAAACTGCTGATGTAACGCTGCGCACCTGTACTGCGCACCTGTGGCTCTCCGGGACCGGGCTTGGAGACCAGCCCCTCGCTTCTGGACCAAACCAGAATTCTCACGGGTGTAGCACAAGTATTCACACTGGCTGAAAACGAAGTTCGACGGCTTTTGCGAACTCACATCCTCTTGTCGCGAGACCTGAGATGCGAGACCGAGCTGAGACAGGATACTACAGTAAAAAGGACACAGAACACACCCCAGATTCAGAACTGAACCCCAGTCCTGCTCTCGGGACCCCATCTTTGTCCTGTGAGTGTGACATCCTATTACAGTGATGATGTATAGAGGGCAGAAGAGCACTTATATTTTAGACCTAACAATTCACCTGTCTCACTGATGGCAGTGGACTTGTAACAGATCTTCAGAAACGACTTATTTCATGGGGACCTGCTGCTGGACTGGTGCTGCCCAGGGCCGTTCAAGTTTCAGAAATGTGCAGAATATTACAGTCGCGCACAGATACCACACTGCAAGTACCCTGCGATTAACGGAAGACACACTCAGTGGCTTAAAGTGTTTAAAGAAAATCTGTTAAAAGGCCCAGGCCTACTATTTAAATGCAATGTTTAGTAAATATAATAAAGACTGACGTTTCATTAATGACGACCAAGTATTGTGAGTTTTGCACACATCTATGTCAGTGTATTCCACATACAAGGTACTCTGTGCAGAATGGAAAAAACAGTCTAAGATCGCCCACTTTACTAAACCTGTTGTACTGGCTAGTCTATGGTCCAGGTAGTATTTTTAGGACCGTATGATGAAGTCGTAATGTTTAGACTGGTTTGCAACTGAGTTCAACGTTTTCTGTATCGGACACAATTCTCAGTAGCTGGGGTATACGCAAAGACCGACGCCATTAAATATTGCTTCAGTTGTGGGGTTTTTTAAGTAGTGCTCGCTGTCTGCAATACTTTCCAAATCTCAGCTCACATTTTTAAAGCACCAAGTCGCGTTTAGCGTTTTTATGACGACGTGCTTCAAAACACAAGACGCCATTCGTACACCGCGCAGCAGAAACAGACCCGCAGTCACTCTGCGGGTGTGCGACACCCACGCCACGACGAAAACCTGTCTCACGCACTTATTCTCCGTGGGGACGGTCGTGCCCTGAGCTGTTTTCCTTATTTTGGCAGAAAGTTTAATAAGGCTGCTTACCTCGCGCGCCCGCTTGCAGCCGGAACTTCGACACGTCGGCTCTCGCGCTGTACCAGGCAATGGAGTCGCCCGCGCGCCCAGACCCTGCGAGCAGAGCGCGTGGTGCTGCGCGAGGAGGAACTCGCAGGCCTAGTCTGGATCCTGGAAACTAAAATGTCGTTTTTTTTTTCCTGCTGTTTTGATTAGTCCGGAAAATCCCCCTAAGCTGAAGTGAGCGTTCTGGTCATCTGTGACAGCAGTGAGCTCTATTTTCAAAAGCAGCCCTACCCTGCCGGTTGTAGAGCATCGAGATTTTTTTAAAAACGTAACCGCTTACTTGTGCGGTACGTGTCACCTACGGGCAGTTTTCTAAATGGAGGATTTTCAACAGCAAAATATGAGGCGAGATTGCAGGACAAAATTGTTAACGGGATGCTACTCTTGGGGAGATTTCAAAGAGAACCCAAGTGCATTTTGTGAACAGCTGTTTTCA